ACTGAATCAAGTCAAAATTGACAGTTACTATCTGTAGTTACTATCTGTATTTGACTTGATTCACTTATCACAAACAAAGCTTCCTTAAGTATCTGTTGTTGTTTTTAGAAAATAATAAAAATAAAAGAGTCCTTTCATGACAGCATCGCTCACGACGATCCTTCCTGTAAGCGAAACGGTGCACAGTTTACAACAGACAGTATACCAAGCGGCGGTGGTAATCATGTGATGACGTAATTGCACGTGACGTTCACCAGTGCTTGTGGCCTGCTTGCACATTACGAAACGCCCGTTATAATTTTTCCAAGAAATCGGTCAGGTATCAGCTTCTCAACCTTAAGGAATCATTAACGTGAGAGAACCTTTACTGGAAAGTTGTGACGATACTATACCTTTCCCGAAATCGTTTTATTGAGTTCCTTCTTATTTAGCTTGTGTTGTGCTTCGGGTACCAATGTTTTAATTAACGCTTCAGTGGGTTACTATCCAATTGACGGATAAAGAAACACGTTTTTCTTTTTTTTGGATAAAATATTTTTTCGGTGATAATATTTGATTTGCGGCCTTCACGTATATCTTGCATATAAAGATCGTTGCTTAGCAACACCCTGGAGGGATGGCTGTACCGTGTTCTTAAATCAAGTACGCGTGTCAAAATAAATTTTCATTTATTAAGTCAATTTCTAACCCGTGATGCTTATATGAAAGGTTCGTGAATTTGTCAAAAGATTGAAAATGAGTTTATTACCAGCGGTCGTTCCTGCTTTTATTGTGTTTGTGTTGTGCTCGTGTATTAGAATCGGTATATGTGAAAAGGTTATGCTCACGCCGGTACGGATTGTTGCCTCGCACAAACATGTTTTTGATAACATCAGCTCTGGTAGAGTTAAAATACCGTTAGAAAATTCATATATTCCCTTACTTATTCATAATTCCATAAACAAAACTATTTTAACAAATGCGAGACAAACTACCAGGGGTGTCTCAGAACAGACATCTGACAAACATCAATCATCACCCACAAACAAAGGTAGGTCACTTGTATATAGAAACTCGTATGCCATTGTTTAGGCGTACGTTATTTTGAGATGTATATTTCCTGTTATTAAAGAAAAAAGCTAGTACGTTTTATTGAGTATACTTTCCCGTTAAGACTGGATCATGTTAGTATTATATAAGTTTTGGAGATACAGAATTGTATTATTATTTCAGCGAAATTAACGAATGGATTGTATGTAATGTATAAGCTTTGAAAACGCAATATGTATATACTTAAAATATGGTATACACTGTGCGATGGCTTGTTTGTTTGTTTGTTTTTTAATTTCGCGCAAAGCTACACGAGGGCTATCTGCGCTAGCCGTCCCTAATTTAGCTGTGTAAGAATAAAGGGAAAGCAGCTAGTCATCACCACCCACCGCCAACTCTTGGGCTACTCTTTTACCAACGAATAGTGGGATTGACCGTCACATTATAACGCCCACACGGCTGAAAGGGCGAGCATGTTTGATGTGACGGGGATTCGAACTCGCGACCCTCAGATTGCGAGTCGAGCTCCCTAACCACCTGGCCATGCCGGGCCTGTGCGATGGTCAGGGTGACCCACTTTCAACACTCAC